GACCTGAGCCTGCAACGCGACGGTTTGGTAATGGAACTGCAGCAGTTGCAGGAGGCGCGACCTGTGCTCGAAAAGGCCTATGCGGTGAGCTGGGGATTTTCTCTTTAAGGGAATATATTTCAATATAATATATGTATCTATTCCCTAGCGAACCACGCATCCAACGCTTCAGCAGCGACTGAACCAATTGGAGCTGCGAAATCGCCATCTGCAGAATGTCATCAAGCAGCAGCAGCAGTACACAGAGTCCCTGATGCAGCGTAAGTTCAATAGAACCCCTACTGAACATGGCTATTTAACAATATATACCTTAATCCCCTCCAGAATCCTGGCGGCAGCATCAAGTGGAGCTCAATGAACTACACAGCCGGATCGAAACGCAGGGTGTTATGCTGGCCGATCAGACACAGCGCCTGCAGAGCGCCGACATCCTGGTGAAGGATCTGTATGTGGAGAACTCTCATCTGACGGCCACAGTGCAGCGGTTGGAGCAGCAGCGGGCTAGGGTGAACCTCATCCATCAGCAGCAGCAGCAACAGCAGCGACTTGTGGGCGGCGGACTGCCCGGCATGCCTTAGTTTGCCAAAGATTGGCAAACGGATATTAGTTTATAGTTAAAACAAAAGACAAAAACCTGAGGAGAAAGGTGCTCAGCATCAGCAGACATCGAACATGCACCTATATATCGTTATGAATGTATACAACACTCGGTAGATTAAGTTTGCATACTCGTCGTATTCGTACGTGCCGTTTTTTTGTGAATGATTGTGCATCCAAATCCATGTTGTTCGACACGAGAGCACCGCAGCAATAACTAAAGTGACTTTAACTTAAACTCACCCACGCGCAAATGAGGAACAATCCACACTAGTGTACCACATCTAGAAATCGACTAACTTATACGAACGGAGAAACTATTTACACAAACTAAAATCATACTCGATTGAACAATGATACCCACATATAGTTATATGTTCGTTCATGTCTCACTGCAACGTTGAACTTACTAATTGACAAATGAAATAGTTATCGTATATTAATTATATTAGAAGAAACAGTATTTTAAATTTGTTATGCGTCTGACTAGGCGAGCACGTTTATCAATGTTTATCACGTGCCCAATCAAATGCATTCGGAATTGTTGTTAATTTTATTGGTAGAGAAAGCGAACATGAGCGTAAAAAATGATCTATGATATTGATATAATATGTAACGACAAAAAGACCTGTAAAGCTGTAATTATACACACGAATCTATGTATTTAAATTGCGATTTAAGTTAGCCAATACTCTTCAATATTGCTTTTGCGAACGCGACTTTTTGTTAACCCGTTTTCGTCCCAATAACTCACTCTATTTAAATGTAAAAACCTCGACTTAGTTTACTTGCCACTCGATTCACGTGACTGTTGTAATCAGTGCTTCAATCAATACTTTCGATCAAAATATAAATTTACTTTTTAAAAGTATAAAAAAATAATACAACAAAAAAAACCAAATATACAATTATTTAAAAAACCAAAACGTGAAAATGCGTTTTAATGTTTAGTATTAACTGGGGTACATGAGTTTTTTAAAAGTATCCGATCAAGGAAAAGTATCTGTCTATCACAGTTCCTGACCAAATCTTGAATAAATTTTAAATCATTTTAGGTGTATAGTTATATTTGAACTCGTCACTAAAATTATTCTTCTTTTTCTTTCCTATATAATATTTTTCAGCTAAGGTTATAAAATGTTTTTGGAGGAGTTTTGTTTTTTTAAAGCGAAAATTTTAAACATCTAAGATTTTTTACTTTGAAAATTTGGCAAAAACTACACAACGAACTTTATCACTACTTGGCTTATATAAACTGAATGCATTAATATACATTAAATTAATTTTTTAAATTTTTTAAAATTAAAAAAGGCACTCAAATCTTGACCACTGCTAACTCTCTGTTACTTAACATTGATTTTTTGGCGTGACCGTTTGGATCTGTTTTTAGAGTGACCATTTTGAATATTCTTAAAAATATTCCAATAACGAATAATTCACACTGTTTATTTGTTAACGCGAAGCGACTTGGGATAAAATGTTTTGTTTTTTGTTAGTTTTCGGTGTTAATGTGATTTTTGTGCATTTATCAACTGGTGAGTGAATGTTTTAGTGAAGGAACATGAAATAAATTGAATTGAAAAGCCGGAAAACCTCAGGATACAAGGTTTTTCACGATGCGCGCTTTTGTGTGTGTGTGTTTGGTGCACTGCCAGTGCATGTGACTTTGCGTGTGTGTGTGCGTGCGGTTTGTTTTGTTATTCGATGCGCAAAATGGAAATATTTAATTAAATTAAGCATTTGCCAGCGAAACCATGATATAATGAGGACTCTAAGAAACAACCCTCTAATCGACCTAGGAAAAATCATTAGTTCGTTTTTCAAGGCCGGTTTTTATGGCTAAAATGCTAGGGACGCGTTCTATCCGCTCATTTTTGTAAACCATATTTTACCTGTAATTCCAAAGTTTGTTTGTTTAAATAACTGGAATCCACGTGCGGCAGATTTGTTTATTTATATTTTGTTTATCTAGAGAACGTTGTAAGCCCTTTTTATTTCAGCCCTTTTCAATAATTCCAATTGGAAATTCATAGTTATTTTCCTTTATCTAATTGGCAGTGAACAAATTTCTGCAAGTGCATCTGATTTCGTGCTGTTCTATAAATAATTATTGATAATTACATTGTTTACGGTAGCAACATGTTCGATAACAGCAGTGGAACTTTAGTTTGTATTGCAGTCTGTTAACAGTGCGGCTCTGTAAATTCTTTTGTTTACTTTTTAAGCAGTTACTTAACTAATTTAATATATTTCTTAGTTGTTTTGTCCAAACCAACTTAAAATTAAAGAATAGAGTTTTTTTTTTCAATTCACTAATAAATTGCTATAAAAATCTTCTAAATATATAAATATAAAAGAATTTCATGAAAAATGTCAAATGGTATAGCATACTTTTTGGCTGTTATGGTCAAGTAGATCCCAAGTATAATCTGGTGTAAAAATAACTCTGAAAAGCATTTTATATAAATAATGAAAACACTGGTAATGAAAATGATTTGTTTGTTACGTGCAATATTTTGTAAAATACTTTAAAACTTTTGATCTTTACGTAATATTTTTCTACTTAATCCTTGCCTCTAATTTCACTTTAATATTCTGCTGGGTACGCAGTACGATTCCGTTCTCAAAAGTAAGATCTTCCAACTGAGTGGTGGGCAGTAGCTTAAAGTTCCTGATAACCGCTGCCAAGAGTACCTTGATCTCCAGAATGGCGAACTTCTGACCTATGCAATTTCTTTGACCGGCACTGAAAGGCACAAATGCGAAAGGATGTCGATTTACGGTGTTCTCAGGCAAAAAGCGCTCTGGCTGGAACTGATTGGGTTTCGGAAAATGTCGGGGATCCCTCATAATGTCGTAGATGTGGATGCTTATCTGGGTATTCTTGGGCAAGACCAAACCGTTCACCACACATTCCTCAACACATTTTCGTCCAATCTGCGGCGCTGGGGGAAACATCCTCAGCGATTCCTTGATAACACACTCTAAAAAGACCAGTTCGTTGAACTGAAACACACTGATATCATTGCTGTCCTCTGGTAGGTTTGCCACCTCCTCATAACATCGCTGTTGCACATCCTCATGCAAAGCCAACATGAGCAGGGTGAAGATTAGACAGGTGGAGGTTGTATCATATCCTGCGAACATGAAGGTGTTGACCTCGTCGCAGATTCCTTGATGATCTATTTGGCCTTCAGCTTCGGCGGCTAAAAGAGTATCCAGCATTGCATATCGCTGCTTCTTGCCAAATTCATCCACCTTTCCGAGTTGCTTTTGCTGAAATAGCTTCCTTTTTCGTTGGATAATACTACTTGAGAAGCCGTGGATTATCCGAAGCTTCTTCGCCTGCTTTTGATAATCTCCGAAAAGGAAAAAGTACCAGTCGTAATACATAAGCGGGTTGCACAGGCGCTGATTAAAAATCTCTTCAAAGTCATGGATGGCCTTTCGGTACTCGTTTCCCTCCGTCATGTCATCCAGTTTCACACCGAGAGCGGTTTCTGCAAATATATTGGTTTCTTATAAGCTGAGTATTATAATAAATGATCCCACTTACCGCATATATTGTTTAGTGTAAACTGTGGGATAATCTGGTTAAGTTCCAGTTCACCGCCTGAGTGTCTGTCTAAAACTTTCATTAACTTAGTGCACTCTTCTCTGAAACAAATCAACTAATCTAACTAATACATTTGTTAATTTTTCAGTAGAACTCACTTAAAAATAGAGAGAAAAGACTGCAGAACATTAAAATGAAAAGCAGGGGTCAACGTTTTCCGCCTCGAGTGCCATTTGTGGTCTAAAAACAGATAGTTATTAGCAATCCCATTATACATTCCCCAAATAAGTTCTGTCACCTGTGCTAATCAGGAGTCCGTCACCCAGAAATGGTCTTATCATTTCATAAACCATATTCTTAGTTAATAGCTTGGTGCTCTGAAATATTTCCTCAGCTTCTTCGGCACGTACAACATTATACTCGGGTGCGAGTAAAAAGTACCAGAGATAGTTTTTACCATTGGCTTTGGCAGTGGATTCTCGTATATAATTAAAAATAGATGCTGAAAAAAATATTAATAAATGGTTTTATAGATAGAAAGTGTCATTACTTACCGGGCGTTAACTTAAGAAGATCGAAATTATTGCCAAATCGTGTTCTTCCGGGAATAACGACAACTTTGCTCTCCAACGGACTGCCATCGTGCGTTCGCACTCGTTTTGTTAATGAAAGAATGTAGTAGGTTTTATTAATTTGTTTTAGAAAGTGCCAAATGGCTATGAATAAAACTGTAGACCCTAGAAGAGGGATCCACATTTTGTTGTATTTTCGCGAACCGTACTGATGCGAATTTCGCAATCCACTGAGCTTCTGCATAATCTAATTGAAAAAGGGTAGTACCAAAACATTTTGTTATCGGAATATTTTATGGTTCTTTATTTCTAGTAATTGTGTTTAGGATTTTAATAGAATGCAATAAAGTTTGAAAGTTTGGGTGATTAGTAAATTTATACAGTTATGTTTTGTTTGACCCTACGCATTAATTTAACCTTTACATTTTGCTGAGTACGCAACACAATTCCATTCTCAAACGTAAGGTCAGCTAGATAAGTGATGGGTAGTATCCTGAAATTCCTGATAACCGCTGCGAGTAGAACTTTGATCTCCAGGATGGCAAACTTTTGTCCTATACAATTCCTTTGTCCTGCACTAAAGGGTACAAAAGCGAAGGGATGACGATTCACAGTGTTTTCAGGAAGGAATCGATCTGGTTGATATCTGAGTGGATCTGGAAAGTGCCGGGGATCCCTCATGATTTCATAGATGTGAATGTTGATTTGGGTATCCTTGGGCAGTATTAGACCATTTACCACACTCTCCTCCACGCATTTACGACCAATAAAGGGCACCGAGGGAAACATCCTCAGCGATTCCTTGATCACACATTCCAAATAGAACAGTTCGTTGTACTGGAACACGCTGATATCATCGCTGTCCTCGGGAAGGTTTTCCACCTCCTCATAACATCGCTGTTGCACATCCTCGTGAAGGGCCAACATGAGCAGGGTAAAAATAAGACAGGTTGATGTAGTATCGTATCCCTCGAACATAAAAGTATTGACCTCATCACAGATTCCCTGATGATCTATCTGACCTTCTGCTTCGGCTGCTAAAAGGGTATCCAACATGGCATACCGCTGCTTCTTGCCAAATTCATCCACTTTCTCAAGTTGTTTACTTTTAAAAAGTTTCCTCCTTTTCTCTATGAGATTACTGGAGAAGGCGTGGGCTATTTTCAAGTTATCTACCTGTTTTCGGTAGTCTCCATATAGATAGAAATACACTACGTTATAGAAAAAGGGATTGCATAGTCGCTGTTGCATGACCTCTTCTATGGCGTGAATCGACTTGCGATATCTGAAACCCTCCGTCATATCGTCTAGCTTTACGCCCAGTGCGGTTTCTGCAATTAAATCAATCGTTTTAAACTGTTATAAAAATAATAAGAAAAATTCTTGAAATACATTTAAAAACCGGCCAGTGAAAAGTTTATACTATATAAGTATTATACTTTCAAATATTGTCCATTTATGTCATTTGAGATGAGATAGGGAAAATAATTTATATATTTGCTGGTCATGCTGATTTTCTATTATTTGTTTTTTGTGATTTCATTTTGTTGATAAACTGATTTTACTTACCACAAACATTGTTTAAAGTAAACTGAGGAATGACCTGATTGAGCTCCAATTCCTTATCCACACTTTGATAGAGGACTTTTACCAGTTTATTGCACTCTTCCCTTAAAAAGACGGGCTTGTAGAACTTTAAAACTTTTCTTATTTCAAAAACTTACTTGAAAATGTTTAGGAACGACTGCAAAACATTGAAATGGAAGGCGGGTGTCAGGGCTTTTCTTCTAGAATGCCATTTCTGGTCTATTTATGGATTAAAACATTTAGAATTTCACGATTATTTAAAAACGCAATTTAAAATACCTGTGCTGGTCAGCAGTCCTTCACCCAAAAATGGTTCCAAAAGACTGTAGATCATATTTTTAGTGATAAGCTTCGGACTTTGGAATATTTCCTCGGCTTCTTCGGCCCTGACCACATTGTACATGGGTGCTCGGAAGAAATACCACAGATAATTTCGACCATTCGCTTGAGCAGAAGCATCCCTCATGTAGTTAAAGATGCTTTCTAACAGAATATTTAATATTACAAAGATGAACTAATGATATGTTATTTCTATACCAACCAGATGTAAAGTTCAATAGGTCGAAGTTGTTTCCGAATTTTGGTCGGCGTTACGTAAATCTTTTTTTCCAGCGGGCTTCCATCCTCTGTGCGAAGTCGCTTACAGAGACTTAAGATAAAGTAAGTGTGGTTCAAGTGTGTCCACAATTTGCAAAAAATAAAAATAAGCACGGGCACAGAAATCAAGACTTCTAAAATCATTTCTGTGCAATTCCGAGTAATGTATTCCGTCCAGAGATCTCATATACCTTTCAGATTAAGCTCTGATCTGTAAGTGACTGCCGCCGATTAGAACCCAGCAATCAAAACCAATGTGTCTTGTGAAATCAATAATACTTGACTTATACATTTATTATAAAACATGTTCCCACACGGCATGCAATGGAAGGGTATATTTATTAGTAGTTGAGTTTCAAGTTGAAACTTGTAACTAGTTTTTAAACTTATGACTTTAATATATATTGGATTTGCTTGTGAACGTTTTTAAAATAATTTGGAATAATATTGTATAATCTACCTTATCTTATAGTAGATTTTGTTTAAATTTCATTTTTCGTAAATGTTATTTATACACAGTACGCAGCACCAATTAAAACTAATCACATATTAAATGCTTAAGGGAACCATTATATAATCTTGCAATTAAAAAATATAAACAATTTTAAGTGTGCAGTTTCAGGAAAATTAACCTTTTTGATAGGAGACAAGCACGTGAATCGGTTATCTTTTATTGATTATTGCTCCATGAATTTCAGACTGCACCCTTTTTATAATCAGTACCAGACAATAAGACATGCAATCACTCTTATCAATTAATAATTGGACTTAGTAGACTTTATTTGGTTTTTTTGTACATTTTACAAATGAAAAAATCTTTGGCAAAAAGTTAACTTACATTATTTATCTCTATTTAATCCTTTTCGATAATTTCACTTTAATGTTCTGCTGGGTACGCAGTACAATACCGTTCTCAAAAGTAAGATCCTCCAACTGGGTGGCGGACAGTAGCTTAAAATTCCTGATAACCGCTGCCAAGAGTACCTTTATCTCCAGAATGGCGAACTTCTGACCTATGCAGTTTCTTTGACCTGCACTAAAAGGCACAAATGCGAAAGGATGGCGATTCACGGTGTTCTCTGGCAGAAAACGTTCCGCTTGGAATAAATTTGGTTTCGGGAAATGACGGGGATCCCTCATAATGTCGTAGATGTGGATGCTGATCTGGGTATTCTTCGGCATCACCATTCCATTCACAACACTCTCCTCCACACATTGGCGTCCGATGAAGGGCACCGAGGGAAACATCCTTAGGGATTCCTTGATAACACACTCCAAATAGACCAGTTCGTTGAACTGGAACACACTGATATCATCGCTATCCTCGGGAAGGTTTACCACCTCCTCATAACATCGCTGTTGGACATCTTCGTGCAGGGCCAACATGAGCAGGGTAAAAATAAGGCAGGTCGATGTAGTATCGTATCCCTCGAACATGAAAGTGTTGACCTCATCACAGATTCCCTGATGATCGATCTGACCTTCTGCTTCGGCTGCTAAGAGGGTATCCAACATGGCATATCGTTGCTTCTTGCCAAACTCATCCACTTCACCTAGCTGCTTTTGCTTAAACTGCTCCCTTTTTCGTTGGATAATACGGCTTGAGAAGTCGTGAACTATCCGCAGGTTCTCCGCATGCCTGCGATAATCTCCGTAAAGGAAGAAGTACCAGTTGTAATACATCAGTGGATTGCACACGCGTTGTATCAGAACTTCTTCGATGGCGTGGATGGCCTTTCGGTACTCGTTTCCCTCCGACATGTCATCTAGTTTTACACCCAGAGCGGTTTCTGTAGAAAGAATATTGTTTAGTTTAACTTAACCAAGGTTTACACTTAAAGCTTACCGCATATATTATTTAAAGTGAACTGCGGAATAACCTGGTTAAGATCGAGCTCTGCGTCTACATTTTTGTCCAGAACTTTTAGTAACTTGTTGCACTCTTCTCTGAAATTGTTTTCACACATTTTACAAATTTTTATTATATTAAGTAATATAAACTCACTTGAAAATAGACAAAAAAGTATGCAGGACATTAAAATGAAAGGCCGGCGTTAAGGCTTTCCTTCTGGAGTGCCATTTATGGTCTAAAAATCATAGACTTATTAGTAAAATAATAAAGATCACTAAGTAAGATGACTAACCCGTGCTTATCAGTAGGCCGTCTCCTAGAAACGGTCTAATCAGTTCGTAGACCACATTCTTGGTTATCAGCTTGGTGCTCTGGAATATCTCCTCAGCCTCCTCGGCTCGAACGACATTATACATGGGTGCGTATAAAAAGTACCACAGATAATTCTGACCTTTGGCCTTGGCAGTGGACTCTCGACAAAAATTAAAAACACTTGCTGTAACAGAACTTTATATATTAGTGCTAAAAGTAATTTATAGCACTACCTACATGGCGTAAAGTTGAGAATATCCAAGTTATTGCCAAATCGTGTTTTTCCTGGCATTACGGCCACTTTACTCTCCAATGGACTGCCATCCTGAGTTCGCACTCGTTTGGTCAATGAAAGAATAAAGTAGGTTTTATTGATTTGTTTAAGCAAAAGCCAAAGGGCTGCTAATAAAATTGGAGTCCCTAGCAGAGCGATCCACATTTCGTCGCTATTTTCTCCGTTCGATCCGTTCTACGGGCGATTTCGCCGCCCACTGAGCTTTGGCTTAGCTTTTGCATTAAACCTCAAGCCTATAATCATAATAATCATTTGTTTATACTATACACGACTGTTCCAAACAATAATAATCTAGAAACAGCTTTTTCTTATCACCATATTGTGCGGCTTAGTTAGTTATAATTGATTGTAGGGGGTATTGTATTTTTATAACGCTTAACATTAATTAATCATTTATAATAATATAAACGAATACAATATCAAAACAATCAAAACTATGTTTCCAATAATAGTCAGTAATAAATAGTCTATCATATTTTTCTACCTTCAAAGTTTATTTAATCTGCTCGCTTGCGGTATTACACGCGATTATAAATGCGTCAAAGGTCAATTGGAAACGAATGTGTGTGTAAAAGTACGGGTCATAATAAAACGTTTAGGAGAGTTATCTCCTCAGTCGGTTAAAAAATAATTGCTAAAATATCAATACAACACGTCAAATATTTCAGATCAAACCTTTTAGACTGTCATAAATTTCTGGAAATGGCGAAAATGGCATGCTAATGCATATAAATAATATCGTCATGCTATGAAATTTAAAGCGTTACGGTAGAAGAGCTAAAGTTTTCTGTCAGCTGACGACATTGATAGCAACATAATTTTTAAATGTAAATAACAAATATAAAATTAAAATGATGGGGATAGTGGACAATCGTGTACCAGATGCTCTTTTCATAAACAGAAAAAAATCCACGTGCTCATCTGAGTTGAACATGTTCTTAAAAATAGAACTATATTTTTAAGTTGAAAATGTTTTTATTTTGCTCGAATCAAGTTGAATTGGCGGTATTTAAGTACATTGTATGTACAAATAAACTATTAATTCAGTTCTTGGAGTATACTTATCAAAAAGTTGTTAAATAAATTCAATTTAACTTTTCTCTTCTCACCTTACACGGTTTTTAAGAACGAATGGTTTCAATTCAAAAACAATGTTCTCAATTAAAAAACAATGTTCTCAATTCAAGAACAATGTTCTTGGATACTTCTCTCTGTGTAGAAAAACGACTGCTTATAAGATATATATTATGAGTATACCCATCTAATAGACTTGAACATATAATAAATGTAACATTTTAAGATCTTCTTAAACCACTTTAAAAGTAATGACTTTATCCATTACCCAGATACTTCATATCAAAACGCATAATTGATTGCAGCACTTATCAGATATCGAAATGGCTGGCTGAGCATTTGAAATACTCGAACCTGGTTTACGATCGTTTAATTTCCCCACATGACCATTCCAGATTAATAACAATTTCTCGGCATGACCGTACACAGATTTCCTCCCAGGCCAAGCAACATATTTTCCCATCGTGCCAACTATGGAAACGGTCTGCTGAATACAAAAAAAAAGAAAAAAGGAAACGAGCAATGTCGCATCAAAATGCCGCATTGATTAAAGTTTGATTAGCTGCAGCTTGGGCCAGATCGCATTTGGGCTTGAAGAATTAATTTGAGCCAAGTTTGCAGTGCGCGCGCAGAAATGGCAATGCCAGTTGCAATCTGGCCAAGAGCAGCAGTTGCGGCAATAGAAGTAAATGTGGAAAAAAAATTAAATCACAGTAATTACATTTTCTGTGGAAATGGCAGGAGCCGGCGAATGAACGCGCAAACATGTTGCACGACCAGTGCGTAAACGTGGATGACAAAAATAGTCAATGCAGCAGCAGCAACTGCAACAGCAACAGTCACAGCAGCAATCACAAACTGCATTTGGGCATGAAAAGTGCTGTGCCGGCACAATTGGAATGGAAAAACTGGCCCTGTCTCTCTGTTTTCCTCTTGTTTGTTATGAACAAATGTTATTGCAGCGGCAACATGCTGCATGTGTTGCTGCTGCAGGAGCAACATCGGCTGCTGGCACAGCAGCAGCAGCACTCATTAGGATGCAAAAGACGTCGCTTGCCGCCTTTTTAGAATTACTAATTGAATCGACGCGATCAGTGGCAATTGCAGCGGCATTGGCCACAAAAAAAGCCACAACAACAATGGACAGCAACAACCAATGCGGTGGCGGCTTGAATGTTTGTTTGTTTGTTGTTTCAACCGCTACTGTTGCAGCTTCCGTTGCGGCGTGAATGTATATACGCCTGCGTTTTTATTATTTATTTATGTACGTGATTCTCGGCGTGGTTTGCGATTCTTTTAGGGCAATTCCCGAAGCAAAAATCTGAGCCAAAGCAGAGCTATCCGCATATTGCCGATGCACATCCGCAATCCGCTTGGGGGAATAGCTAAGATAACAGAAGCTGAGTTACTTGGGAACCCAGGACCCTTAAGCATTAGAGTTACATATAAGGCTGGGGTTATTCCAATAAAATTAAGGAGCCCCATAAAACTAGGCAAAGATATTATACTGTCTTATATGGCTCTTAAAATAAAAGTTGAAACTATAAGGAATAACAAAGGACTGTAAATTACAATTCTATCATTAAAAAATATGACATATGAATACGCATCCCTTTTGTGAAGAGCTGAAAAAACGTTTATTTTAAAATATATTTTAGGGATATGTATTTAAAAACATTTCTTATAAAACATCGCTTTTAAAATCCTTAATAAACTTAATCTATCGAACTTATTCGTTTTACTTTCCGAAGATAATCACCACTCCTTCCTGCCGCATTCCTTAAAATGTGATACAACTATTTTCCATCATTTTCCTGCATCTTTTTTCCAAAAATATCCATGTTTTTATAGCTGACCTTACCTGTTAAATTTCTGGCTAAGCACAAAGTCATGTAGCAACATGTTGCTCTCGTTCGCTGCAACATTCGCTGTGCGGCAACATGATTTTTCAATTATTGCTGCGGCATGTAAAATTTGTTGTAAGCGCTTGCATATTTACTTTAACACCTCGTCCCCGGTGTGGTTCCTTCTTGTGTTTGTCTCTTTTTTTGTTTTCCGTGTACTATTTACTTTTTTGCGTGTATTGCTGACAGCAGACGATGGCGGCGACGAACAGGCGACGCTTGTTAGCCATGTTGCCTCTCCTGACACTTGTTGCACGGCATTCTGCCCCAGCAACCTTTTGCGGTCGCAGTGCCCCAAAGATCTCAGTTCGCCTGGGTTGCCGTTGCTGTCTGAAATACCATGGGCAAAAAGTCAAATGTTCTGGCAAAAATCTTGAGATATTATAATTAGGCTTTAAATACTAAGTTTTTAATAAATAAGGATCTTCGGAAAATAAACCTTTAATTCTTGGTCAGGCGATTTTATCCTCGATTGTAATTACGAAACATATTTAAAAAAGCCATGGCAAGAAAAAAGGTTTAAATGCTTAATAACACCTAAAAGATTTATATATTAAATGTCAAGAATGTCATGACTCAATAATAAATACAGTCATTTTATTAAAAATCATACAGAGTCATAAGGGCTTTAATAAACTTTCATGTTGAGAATTCTTTTTCTGAAACGTCTGTTTTTTAAAGGATAAACTTCGAAATTATTAAATAGAGTAACTGTTCTATATATTAATCCCGATTATTAAAAATAAATTTCTTAATTTCTAATTAAACCAATATAGTTCTAACCCATTGTGCAATGTTGCTCTTGGGTTGCTTTTGGTGTTGATGTTGCTGCTGTGTTGCTGTCGTTGTCGTTGGCGTGTGTCTCTCGCTCCACTAAACTTTTAATTAAAATTTGGTCGTATCACAGTGGCTGGTGCTTCCTTTTTTGTGGCTTGTTAATGTCACCTGAAGGAGGCGGGGTACAGGGGATATACCACTGATTTTTATGCAAATTTGCCAGTCTCGTTTTTCGGTCACCACCCGGCCACTTGAGGGGTTTCCAGACGACGAGGGCTCGCTTTTGGGATCGCAACGGATTGGATTGGATCGGATCGGATCGGGTTCCCAGGCCGAGGCTGCGTTCGTCATTAAGTTGTCATGACCATAATCATCTTTTGAGACGGCCATAGACCAACTTTGGCGTCCACTTCTTATATAGTATGTCTGTGTTAAAAAAAATTACAATCCATCAATAAGGCAATTGGCATTTCCCGTCAGATTAAAAAAACTGATCGTTTTTACTGGATATTCTGATGGGTATTTCTTACAAAGATGTATGTATTCACTTTGTTATTAAAGATTCGATCCTTTACTAATATATATTAATCAAAAACCAACGCTTTTCTATGTAATATAATAAATCCAGAAATATTTATTATTTTCTCTGCACCAAAGTAAACATTACCTGATGAGAAAATTGGACAGCGCCCAACTAGAGTTTCCATTTCGGCGTGGGACAGGTGCATAAAGATATATTGACTCCCGTTTGGATGTTGCATGATCCGGTGTGGCAATTGGCCAAGATTTATTGACATAATGAAGACTAATTCGCGCGTCTGTGGCCGAGCATTTTGACAATTATTTATGTTGTATTAAGTTGTTTGGCGGCAGCTCGTGTAACGATGTAATTAATTGCCATGGATTAGACATTGCCGATGGCCGATGGCTGAAAAGACCTGGTCACGCAGACCTGGTGTGGGGATGGAGATGCGGAGGCACTGAAAACCGGGGCACAAACGGAGTTACTGAGCCAGGAAAGCCACAACCAAAACCAAAACACCAAAGCCGCTTAAGCCCATAAACAACCGAGTTTATGCGCGACCATCTGCGACGATCCGAATTGGAAGCGGAATGGAATCAAATCGAATCGCAGCACTTCAATTGGCCATTTGGTTTTGATGCGATTTTAAAGCGATTTAAATATGAATATAAAAAAAATGGCCGTGATCAATTTATACACTTCGAGGCGTTAGATGTTATGTGCTTTTTCTATGGGTTGCAATCACTTTATTAGTCATGGGTACTGACTCATCAAGAACTGGAAAAGCTATAAAAGCTTAAGCCTCTGATAAGAATGCTTTATAAATGCACTTTTGCACTTTCAAATATTGCAATCAAATAATTTTTAATTCCCTTACAATTTTATAATCATCTTAGAATTCAAATTTTTGCAATTAGTTTATATTTTAATAA